GAAGCATTCTCGAAATGAATTCGGATGAAATTGCACCTGTTGTGATAAAGTTGCGTTGTCAAACGCATACTGGTAAATCCATTTCGATTCCAGCTCCAGCTCATGTTCATCCGCTTCTGTTACGGGCACTCGACGAAGCTGAAAATGTGAAAATTCTTATGCTTTCCAATCTTCCACAAGACGGAAGTTTCAAAACGACACGAAATCATTGCTGACAAAAAACTGATCGCCGAAATATACCTGAAATCGTTCTGGCTTATCTTCTAGTTGTATGCGCTTGTCCAGTGGGGCAAGCAGTTTTTCTTCCAACTCGGCGGGCTCAATTGTGTCCATCAGCGTGGCTTTCTTCTCTTTTGGTCTGATCTTGTGGGCTCGCATCGCATCCGCTCCTTCCAATTCATCGTGCTCCTCATCTTCCGGATATTCATCTTCCTCATCACCTGGCTAAACCAGCATTTTAAATTCATGGCGGCAGTTTATCAGATGCTATATTCCTCAGTTTCTACTAACAGTTTGGGAGATCTCTTTCTACAGTATACTGAACTTTGATAATTCCTATTGATAGGTGCATGGATGATGCAAGTGATGTGCTCCGTAAGTCAAAAATATTAACAAATCTATCAACATTGATCTCACAACTGCGATTTACCAGCGATTTTCTATCATTTAACAATATCAAAGCATATTTCTCCAAAAACTCCCGAAAGCCTCTACGCAAACAGAAGGCTCCAGGCTTGTACTACTTGTATTTCTAACATTCATGTTTGCTGTGGCAAATTCAATACAGTTGGTGCGTAAAAGTACGAATTCGTCTTAAGAAATGTCATGAAAGCCATACCTCGACATCTTCATCATAAAACTCAGCAAAATTGAACTCGTCAACTCCGAAGATTTCGCGCGCATCGTCCATGGCCTGTTCGGGCACGTCGGTTGAGCGATAACGACGCTGGCGATGTCGCGCCTGATGGCCATCGTCCGTAACGATGAAATCATCTTCTGAAACAAAGAAAGCCGTTAAAAAAAGCGAACAACTATATGAACAGGAGAAAGCTGCTTCTAAAAAAGTGTTGTGACATTCTAAAAATGTACCGGAATGTTCGCTTTCGATGGCTGACCCCTCCTCGTCATCGTATGCGCCAATTCGTTCGGAGTCTCGACGAACACGACGTCGATCCTCGTCGCCTGCCGCATCCTCCTTTAAATAACACAGAATATAGAAAGCGAAAAAAAAAAAAAAAACGCAAGAAGCACTGCACTGTAAACAAATGAGAAGGAGGGAAGGAAGAGAGTGAACCTTATCGTAAAGATTGCTTTTATTCTGCTCTTCTTCCTCTTCGTCACTTTCGATGACGACGCGT